AAGAACAACTTTAATATTTTCATCAAATGTTCATCTATTATATACTCAAGGAAGAGAGTGATTACTCTAAACTTACTTCACATTCTGCCAACTGACAAAGTATTTTCAGCTAAATCGAAATTTTTTTGCAGTTGGAAGAATCTGAAGTAAGTTCAGAGTAATCACTCTCTTCCTTGAGTATATAATAGATGAACATTTGATGAAAATATTAAAGTTGTTCTTTTATTTTATTCCTTAAACAGGCAAACAGAAAAGTACTAGAGTATAGAATAAACTGTAAAAGAAAAATGTGTGTGTTTTTGATAGATTGATAAAACAATAATCTTTTTGAAGCATTGCGGTAATTTTCTTTGAAGGAGTAATCAAATGAATTAGAAAAGAAAACGAAGTTCGTGTACACATCTATATAAAAATTATTATAAAATGAAATATTGTATAACAGCAGAATACAAAAATACTCGCGAAATAGAGGACACAGGAATCGCAGGAATAGCAGAATAAAGAAACGCCTCCTTAATTGTATGTGTACTGAACTGTTGTTTTTCTCTTATAGGAGCATATTTGAATGTAAACGATACTGTTAAATTATTGATTCATAGCGACCCATGCACAGTGGGCATTTTTTGCTAGAGCAGGCGGACTTTAGCTTTATGTGTGAACTAAAATTTCATGAACCATTTTTTTATAGGTTNGAGTCGACATCAAAATAGACATCCATACACCATTCGATAGAGAATTTCAAGGGCTACATTTTGCACTAGTTACATTAAAGAAATGAGCCACTTTAATTTTTCGCCTAATGTCCGCCTGGATGCCCACTGTGCCATGTGTAATAGATAATGCGTTCAATGAAGTAATTCATATTAAACATAACATGGATGGTACGACAATAGGAACGTCTATCAATTTTTTAATGTCAACCATCAGTTGCGTTAAATCTGGCTATAATAAATAATTAGCTACAAGCATCATACCATTAGGACAGTTTAAGTTTAATTCCGAAAATCGTGCTGAAATTGATCGTGTTGTGCCGGATGAATTTGTCAACATGATGGAGAAAAAATTAGTTTGTCTGAAGAAAATGAAACTGGAATTTGATTTTCAGATGTCCTTAGACATGAAAATGATGTGGCAAGTCATGGGATTGTATGGTATAACAGATATTTCGATTGACAATAACACTCTAGTAACAAAAATAACTTCATTTGCTTTTAGGACAAAACCATTGCACAGCATCAAAAAAATATGGCCGAATTTGGAAAATACTCAGCGTTTGATCCGGCGAGGGGTGCTAGAACATTGAATCAACAATACCAAGAAGTTGGAAAATCGAAACCAGGCTTTGGATACCAGCACGAACCTCTTTTCCGTAGAAAACTAAAGTAAGTTTAACTACGTCTGCATTTCGATACTAGTGGAAATATATTCATCACTGACTTATTATTTGTGTTATTATACTAAGCATTTCGTTCATTTTCTTCAGTTATCAACAAGTTATTACCGATGTATTGCATATGAAATTAAAGATATCTGATATATTACTGGCGGAAATAATTTCATTAATGTGCGTCACAGATACAATTACTGAACGTGCTCAATATTTAACGAATGTAATGACGTTTTTGGAAAAACATGCTAAAGATAATAATCCAAGTTTGACGTCTATAAAAACGGTAACAAAATTTGTTATTTTTGTTTATGTTTTTTAGACAAACCTTAAATTTACTCTAACGAAAAACAATGAAATTGTAGTTTCTGGTAGATTAAATGCACAAATGCATGAACGTTTCGTACGTAATATCCCATTATATGCTATTATGAAAGATAATCATCGAGCATTTTTTATCCGAAATTGTGTAGCGACTCTTTTGATCTTATGAAAATGTACAGTATTAGTGATATATATAAACATGTGAAAAGGCAATCCATCGACTGGTGTGAAAGATATAAAAATATATTTGGAAGTGTCACCGTTATTGTATACATTCACGTTTTGAGTAATCACGCATTTGAATTTCATGAAGAGTACGATAATCTTGATTTATACAGTTTGCAAGGTAATGAAAAATTTAACGATATTACCACAAAAGACTCTTTCATGTCAACAAATAAAAGGAATTTTAACGTCCAACTTTTACAAAAACGTGTTTACTTATACTAATTAACGGTAATGAATTTTCAGACAATTTTTACGTCAGTGTATAGCTGAAAGTCATATGTATCTACCTGTGTAGTTACCACTTTTCTCTTACTAAAAATGGTTTAACCGTTCGTAAAATACCACTGATGGGTTTAAAACTGTTTTTTAAAAGTTAAAAGTTGAGAAACTTTCTAAAAAAGTTGATACAGTTAAAACTTTAGTTATAACTCCAGTTATAACTATCAACTCGGGTTGATCGATATAACTGCGGTTGACCGAGTTACAGCTCCAAATGAGTAGAGTGATAACCATTCCAACTCCAGTTATAACTGCATCAGTTTTAGTAATGACTACCAACCCAAAATAAAATTATAAAAGCTCGTTTCAGTTTGTATTATGGCAGAGTTATAACTCGGCCTGTCCAAATGTGACGGAACTGCATTTTTCTAACTTGTGCGCCCTCTATCTCGGTAAGCACGGAATAGATAAAAGTGAAATTTGTATTAAATATATGTCCCGTCTGGTCCTGCTACAAAGAAACTTTTAAGCTGATTTCATTCACTTGATCAAAAGTTATAGGCGAAATGAAGGCCGTAACGGAATTTTCAAAAATGGACGTTTTTTATCGGAGCTTTTAGAACTTTGATAATTTCTCTAAAATCAGACATCACAGGAGCACCTTGTTTGTATGAAACTCGTAGAATTTTCTTCAGGCTTTCAGAATATCTAATTGATTTTGTCTGAGGATGTCTGGCTCGGAAAAAAGAGCAAAACTACGTCCGTAACGAAATTTCATTTTCATCGTGGAATTTCATCTTTTTTCGTAGTTCCATATACGGTGATTACTCCTCATTGCGAAGTTTCATCGGGAGAAATTTCACGTGATACGGTTGACCGAACAAAATGCTGATGAACCTCACTCGAATTAAGGGTACAAACTATTTTCCCGATTTTTGACTTCTATTTGAAAAAGACCCCCGAACTCTCAAAGGCGTCCATTTTTGCAGATGGATTTCACTGAACTGAAGAAACTCTCTCATGTTAATGAAGGTTTTGAGACATTCTGATTTCGAATCCGATCGTTCATGTTGTAAAAATCATCACAATGCTGATCAATTCGCACTGAGAGTGGCGCCGAATCCGGTAATCGAATTCGGGAGAGTAAAAGTCATTTTTCTCGGATCATCAGCTATGAAGTCAGAAAAGACAGTTTCTTACGTAACTTGATGAGCTCTATAAAACTAGATTGGTTTTAAATGAAGCGGAGAAACTTGGTGTAATTATGGGACATTTCAGATGGATTTACCCTGTATGTAATTAACGAGATCGTCGACATCAATCGTTGTTTCTTTTTTTTATGGTAAACAAACTATATTGAAAAATGATTTTTATTATACTCAGTTTGTTTCTTTTAAAAAAAGATTTTAAAAGAAGAAAAACTATAATGAATAAAGAAACAGTATTAAATATCAAGATGAAGAGCGTCATTAATGTTCTTAGATTTAAAAAGTAAATTCTTCTATTTGTTATCACAATTAATAATAAAAACAAAAGAAATAGAGATTATACTATTTCAATTTCTATTCATTTTCAAATAATTTGAAAGAATTATTATCTAACGATTAACCTACAACTTTTCTTCTAGAATTCTGCTGATACTGTATGTAAATGTGCATCTTTTCGACAATTTTGTCTTCATGTACGCGATGACCGTTTCAAACAATTTACAAATATTACTAAATAGAAAACAATTTTCATTATTGTAAAGATGTAAATTTTTCGTTGAATCGATATGATCTTGATACTGAAGAGAGACTTCGTCAGTCGATCGAGAACAAGAACACAATTTGAAAGTACAAACATAAAGCAGCGAACCCCTCTAATTTTCACGTCCATATCGATATAAATAATTGTTATATAAAATGGCCTTTTCATCTTTTTCAGTTGTTGACCAATTAAAGTTTGTGCCCATAGTTTAAAATGTAGTATGGCTTTTTGTTCTTACTATTCTATATTTATATTATCAATAGAACAGAACTTATAATCAAACATTGCAATAATTAATTAAGAAAACTGTTCGCAATCTAGAAATGCAATAAAAATGAGGTCAGCGTAAATTTAAAGGGTGTATCCTTAGCGCCACACATTTTCTATTGTATGCATACCTTCTCTTTTCGTCTATCCTATAATTTTCGGAAAGAATATCGTAGAATCCTGGAAAGTGTCTTGTTTTGTAGAATGAAGTGCGTTCTTCAAAATCCACCACTAGCTCAATTCAAAATAATTGACGCTTTTTATGCTGTACTTAAAATACGAAGAGCCCCAAAAACATTGTTGTTTGTTTTTAGGGCTTTTAGTATTTTGATTGTAACCGAAAAGTCGGCAATTCTTTCGAATTGAGCTAGTAGTGGATTTTGAAGAACGTACTTCATTCTACAAAACAAGACACTTTCCAGGATTCTACGATATTCTTTCCGAAAATTATAGGATAGACGAAAAGAGTAAAAACGGTAACGCACAGAGATTCCGGTAGCACAGTTACGCGTTTTTCATGAATAGTAATCTTTGAGCGAAGGCATGATTACGTCATACGACGTATACGACAGTGAAAGTGTTAAGCTTATCTGATACTATTGAACGAAATCATTTCGACAGATAAATTTTTTTAAATCTTTTTATAAATAATTAAATTGAACTAAAAACATTTGGAAGAGATCTTCAGAAATAGTTTATATGATACTATGAAATAATTAAATAAGATCATTTTCATAATGCGATACGATCCAAGATAATTGATCTCTTATTTATGTCATTATGTGCATTATACTTTTAAGAAAGGATAAATATATGGATATTCATAATTGAGATTTTTGAAAACCGGGTTTTCTAGAAATCCTAACGACCGTGAAGTTCATTCCGAAAGTTTTTCAAATACTCCATTGAATAGCTCCTCCACGGATAGCCCATTCAATCCTCTACAAAATGAGATGTCAACCAAGTTTCTGCGATGTCCTTTAAAAAAATAGCACAGAAAATACGATGGCGATCAGACCTTCAGTAATAAAGCGAAAACTTTTGAGGACTGAATGAGAGTAAACCCTGTAACCCGGTTGACCAGTATTGTAGAAACTTGGTTAATATCTCACCTGGTACAGAACTGAACGGGTTATCCAATGGCATGGTTTAAAAAATTGTGAAATGAACTTCAAAGTCGACAGGATTTCTAGAAAATTAAACTGCGTAGCTGCCCATGTAAATTTTTTCGAGTCGTAGACGCGTCTGAGAACGCGTTTTATCCTGCGTTTAAGTCGCTCAAATATGCACCCTTTTGGTGCGACTAGACGCGTTTTATCCTGACGCGTTTAAACGCGCATGATGTAGACGCGTCCTAACGCGCTTTTATAGAATATGACGCGTTAAGACGCGTCCAGTACTGACGCGTCTAAGTACGCCGAATCT